TTTCTGGCTGATGGCACCATGGCAGTCACATACACACACGTTTTGGCAGGGATTGTTATATTTGAAATGCAAAACAAGAGAAAAAACTCTTGAACAAAGACTGTGCGTTTGTGAGAGACCTTATCAATCTTGTCAAAATAAATGGTTCCCTCCGATACATGAACCTGATTTACGTTTTTTTAATGGGCCAAGCTTTAACTAGTCCATTATTGCTTGAAATGGTCCTGGTTTCTGTATTTTATTCCTTATTCAACATCATAATTATAGCTGAGAACTCGAAACAATGAGACTGGTCATCACAGCAATGCCAGAGTTTGAGTTTGTAGTGTCATAAAGTGAAGTGCAGGTTGGAAGCTTTGCTACCTTTCATGTCCAGCTCCTTGCAGGCATGGCACTGCAGGCCCTTTAATTACACACTCAGCATTTGTGCCCATCCTCACTGAACTTGGGGCAGAGCAGAGCGTGTTGGTTGTGAAGAACAGTCGAGCTAACCTTTCTAAACTGAGAGAAATACAAGCCAGTGAAACTTGTTATAATTATCATCATTATGATTATTTCTAACATTCATTCTCCCTTGGTTCAGAACATTAGTTGTCCTGTAATTACTATTACTGTATATGCCAGCACTACAACTCCTGGATAATAATATGAATAGTAAACATTTTCATCCATCCATTACCTACACCACTTATCCTGAAGAGGGTCACGGAGGGCTGGAGCCAATCCCAGCTGATATTGGGCGAGAGGCGGGGTCCACCCTGGACAGGTCGCCAGTCTATCACAGCTTTAATTTCTTTCTCTGCTTCTTTGCTTTTGTAAATTTATGATTTTTGATTGTCAAGAGGATCATAACATGAAGAGATGAAAAAAGCAATACTATAATCCTCTAAAGGCTCAACTCAGAAGAGGAGTTAACTTTGATTTTAGACTGAAGTTTTGTGCCACCAAGTTGGGTGTTGTTTGAAGAGTGGTCATAAATACATAACTATTTCATAGTGTTGTATTTTCTGTGCCCCTCTTGTGCAGCAGTGACCTACCTCTGCAAGGGCAAGACCAGTCCATTTTCTGTTTTTAGAGATCAGAGTTCTCTATATCACAGGTCATAGGTGTCCTTTCATTGGCGTATCTACTATGCCATTATGTGTGAAACAGACAAACACATGGCAGAGTGCAGGAGGTGTTCTTACAGATGATGACAGGAATAGAAAACAAAAGGGAGGCGAGATGCACCGGTGCCCTGCAGGATGTGGCATCGTCGTATATCTGTCTCAGCACAGGAGAATGGGAAGAAGCAGAAAGCACTGAGAAATGGCACCTTCCAGTAGAGATTCTGGGGAAAAATACAGTGCAAATCATTTCCCTGGGAACTGATGTTGTTTGGATTTGAATATCACCCGTGAATGCCCGCTAGAAACAAAATAATAATTTAATCTCACAAAGGCTGCTGAGGAAGCACGTTCACAGTTTGAAACAGGGTGTGGGGAGGAATTCAACAGTTCCCACTGATGCGTAAAGACAAACAACAGCAATACATTACTCTGAAATTACAGAAGCAGCATTCATATGTTCACAGCATCTGCTTTCTGTGTTGCTGGGAGAGTTCATCTGTGTAAACTCACATAGAGAGAGCTGCAAAAACCCCTTCAGTGTTCAGTAATGTATATACAGTAGTGACTTATTAAAACTGCAAAGATTTACATAAGAGGTGATAAAAAATCTTAAAGGGAAACATCTTTATATTAAAAGGAAAATCAATTAACGCTAATCAGAAAAGCGGGTGCATAATGTATAGTCATTTCTTTTTGAATAGCTGCCATTTAGTTTCATAACTATCTTTGTACATATTGCAGGACAAGGCAGGTAGCAGAATGGAAGGAGATGAATAGCATCCTAGTTGCACCTTGAGGTCCTGAAAGAGTTCCAGCACAATACAAATCATTAATCATACCTCTGAGTTGTTTCAAGAATTTTATAAAACAACCAGGCACGGTAGATGTTACAAACATCATTCAAAAAGGGTGTTTTCAGGTTCACTGGAGACTATTTTTAGCTGTGCATTCAACGCTTTAGTGAGTATTTACAGCAGCAGAACAGTGTATATGGGATCAAGTCAGAATAGAATACAGCCATTGCCATTTATCATAACAAAGGAGTATGTCACACAGTGCAACAGTGTGGTTGATTGATGAGGATACGATTCATTTTTGGGCAACAGTAGAAGGTTTTGGCACAGAAGAATAAGTTATGTCCAGTTCAGAACTGCACACGTAATCAGCTAAGTTCATGTTTGGTTTTGGCTTTTTAATGGGATTGGTTGATGTCAAGAAAGTCTAGAATCTGACCCTACTCTTCCTTTAAGGCTGCAAATTGCTTGCATTATAGTGTACCCACCTCTGCAGCACAGAATCCACACCTTGTTTGATATGATATATTTTCAAAGAACAGATCTTGAATTTTTGAACGCCATGTTGTTAATAACTAGATTCTCCACTTGCTTGGTTTATCAAGACACATGAAGAATACACATCTGTATATGTTTCCATGCAATGACACAAACACATCAATAATCTGTCTGTCACCTTTAAATTACCACTGCACTTGTCTGATTTCCTCACTAATTGGTGTGTTAAACAGGGCTATATATTAGTATGGCCTGGAGACAGTGAGCTCAGTTCCAATCTCGCTTCACCCCCTGATTTACACTAATGACAAACTGGCTCTTCTTCTCCAGACGTGCAGCTTTCTGGGATTGATGCAGGTTTTGGCCTCACTCATCTCCAGCTCTTGTCTTGTTAGAAACCAATGAAAAAGCAATTACCTGCAGATGCCACATTCTGACAAAACAAGGTGATGCACCAGAAGACGACAAGCAATTGCTCTCTTCATAGCACTGCACCCATCTGGGGAACCATCTTGGCAGCCGACTGTGACCCTCTGCTCTTCCTTTCCTTTAAAACAACCTCAGTAAAGCTTTTGCTTCGACATCTCACACCAGGAAATGTTTCAGCTCTGTCCTGTGGCTCTGTTGCGCTCATTAAGCCCCCAAGGAAGGATTTGGAAGGTTGAGGGTCGCTGGAGCTCTGCATCGCTTGGGGAACTTATCTCCAATTTGTTTACAGTTTCAGATAAACGAAAGGCTTGGAAACAGTGCAAAACACTAATGTGAATAAAAAATGCAATTAGCAGCCCATTTATCTAATGAACAGTGAGGGATTGTGAGAGATGTGTATTTAGTCATATCTGGAAGTGAAAGTGATGGTAATGAAACATGGTTTGCTGCTCCAGGTCTCCCAGTTTGAACTCTGAAGATGTAATGTAGCTGAAGTGTGTAAGTGTGTGAAGAGAAAGTGCCTGAAAGTACCAGAAAACACTAGACCTAATTAAGCATTGTGCACCATTCTCTCCGTGATGGAGCATGATTAGAAAGATAATTGAATTGGGAAGTGCAATTTAACAAGGGAGTTGCATGTCTTGTCAGATAGTAATGAGTACACAATCAGGAAGAAAATGACACGTGAATGTTCATGTTCCTCCACAGGTAACATATATTTTAAAGTTATGACCTTGCTCACTAGAAAAATTAAGGTCACTGTAACGTGTACAATAACTTGCATCCTGTTAGATGATGAAGATACAACGGTAATTTTACTTCCTCTTGTGAGTGGAACTCAGCCAAGACATTCCATTTGTTTCGAGAGTTCGGCAATCCCTTTGAGACAAAAGGTTCCTTCCTCACCAGCTCCACTTCTGTCAGACTAATTCTCTTCATGAATAAAATGGTAACGCTCGTCAAGAGGAAAGGAGATATGCAATCACCTTCACTCTGGCTTCCCATGATGATGTTTTAATAACATCTTATGAGCTCACTTCACAAAAACCACTTTATTAAACTTTTTAAAATTTCTTTTTAAGTATGACACCCCTCAAACTGGGTGATTTTCTTTGGCAACAGTGAGCTGTAGGAGTGCTTTGAAGACATTCCTAAAAGGATATAAATTGTTTATTTATCCCCTGCACCCCAGACAGTAGGCAGATACGGAGCTGGCCAGCCTTCTTCTCACTAGCCAGAGTTTTCCCAGAGATGCACAGGACTTCTCATGCATGCTTAATCACATATTCAACATTACACATGCGTTTTATATCCCAGATGCATCATGAACCAAGCACAGTCTGAGACTGTTTGAAAAACAGTGCTGTGTAGCTCAGCTATGAACTTGAATTTTACCACATTTCTTTTTTGTGTACTGGATGTATTGTAACTTGCTGCAGTGTCTTTGTTGTAAATGACTCAGTGTATTTTTCCTACATGGATTCCCACAGATTGATCTTGTTTCAAGTTGAAGAATTCTTTCTACATAATTGTAAATTGGGAGTCAGGGGATAGTTGGTGTCTTAAGTCTTACTTCCCCTATTATATGATAATACAGCTTTGTAAAGCAGGGGATTGCAGCCTTAGGCTTGTAGATTGCTCTCTTATTGAACCAGCTACCTGCAATATCTGTGTCCAGAGATGCTATTCTTAGAGGAAGCAAGACTGCTTTTTATTTTAAAGGATGAGGCCAGTTATTTTGTATATTAATAGTATTTTCAGCAATCCCCATACAGAGACTAAAATGGACAGTGAATTGCTTCTGCTCACGGTTAATGCCTGTGAGCTGTCAGTCCTGACTGAGTTTGTTCATCTGTGCAATAGACTTCTGTTGTTGTTCATGAATTAATAAAAACACATCACACACTGCTGCACTGGGTGACACGTTTTTTCATTACAAAACCCCAGACCCAACTGTGTTGCCCCAAAGGCCCGTTAGCATGAGCCAGAGTCATCTGTGCATGCCTGAGATCTTGCTCGAGCTCTCAGCTTTGTTGACATTCTGCTAGCTCCTCATGCTCAGGTCTGGTGTTTGCTCATGAAGAAACATGTTGTTACCCAGTGCAGCAGTGTGTTTCACTGATGTGTTTTTAATCATTTTTGAATGACAGCAGAAGTCTATGGTACATGTGATATAAGCTGATCCAGGAATGACGCACTGATCTCCTCCCATGAAGAGAGACAATTCACTTTGGGTTTTACTCTCTGTATGGGGAGTGTTGAAAATACTGTAATATAGAAAATGACAAGCCTTATCCTTTGGCATGTTCAGGACTGTCACAGTCAGTCAAATCGACGTGAGTTTGTATTTATCATTTTGCCATAGACTTTTAATCTGTTAAAGAATAAAAATGCAATTCGGCACCACAATGAAAGAGGCATTTGTAGGACAACAGAACCCAGACTTAAATTCTTGCTCCATCACACTAAAATCCAGCTGTATAGCAAAATGAAATCCGCCAAAGTTTAAATATTTACTGACAAAATACTGAGCTACTGAAATGAAATACACAGATTTTTCCAACAGATCTTGCACACACAGGCCTCAGCTTGGCCATTGTTCTTGTGTGAGGTAGTGTGATGGTGTGGTGGGGGTGTGAGATTAGACTCATACTGTACCTACATTTGGGGTTTCACTGATAGGAAACTGCTTAGAGCTTTGCTAGATCTTTAACTTCAGCTAACAAAGAAAGATGTGTCTAATTCATTTCAACCACCATTCTACATTTGCACAGGGTTTGATTTATTTTTGCCATGACATGCAGGCTTCCTTCCCTACTAATTCTCATCTAGATGGTGGGGAATAATTCTCTGTTTATCTCAACACAAAACACAGACTGTAAACCAGCTGCCAGCACTGGAATCCAGCTACATCCATGACTTCAATTTCACTCTGAAACAACTCTTTACTCCTGTTTGATGCAGCATAAAAGATTGATCAACTACAGGGAATTTCTTATCAAAGGAGCTGATTTTGCTAAACCTGTTATACAGTGGCCCATTGAATTAAATCTTTGCATACCTAAATTGGCATAAATATCTAATTATTAATTGACTGACCACGTTCTATGCATATATCAGGTTTGCAACACTGCAAAAATATCTTTTGCTCCACTGTACATTTTATTCATAGACAGTTAAATGTGTACACAACACTGGATTTGTTTTCAGTATGCTAACAGTTACATTAAAATGATTTGGGGAAGGGAGGCAGTCAGCCTAGAAGAATAAGTTCTAAGTTGGTGTTCCTTCCCACCAGCCTTAGGTGGGAGAAGCAAAACAATTTTGTCCCAGGAACCCTTTCAGTGTTTATAGGCGTTTAGATGTTCTGCATACTATCTTCTTGAATGCTTTCCTGAAATCCCTGTTGAAAATGGTGTATATTATGGGGTTCACAGAACTGTTGCAGTAGCCAATCCAAAAGAAAAGATTGAAAAGTGCGCCAGGGATGTAGCAGCTGTCTCTGCATATAGCATGCAGGCTGTAAGTAAAGAAAAACGGGAACCAGCAGAGTACAAACACCCCCATCACGACCGCCAGAACGAAGGTGAACCGTTTTTCCCGCATCTGGGCCACTTTGGTCTTGTTGGCCGCGGCCAGCTGTTGTCTCGCTGCTGGGTTCTTCTGCTCCGGGTAGAGCTGTAACGCCCGGGCCGAAGCCCAGGAGAGGCGGCAGTTCTGATTCGGGAGGCAGTCCGACCCCTCCACCTTCCTCCTCTTGGTAAAGCGATGATTGCGGGGAATCGTATCCGTCGGACAACAACTCTCCTCCAGGTCGATGTCATCCAGCTCACCCTGCCTCTGTTGGTTGCTGCCCGAGCTTTGGCTACTAGGGCTCTCTAATTCAAACCGATCCTTCCTGACGAAACAGGTTTCTGACTGAGAGGGCTGCCTCTCCAGGCCGTTCTTGGCCACGAACACAGTGGAGGAGCGCTGCTTGGCCACTTTATAGATCTTACAGTAAACCAGGATCATGATGAGACCCGGAGCGAAGAAGGACACCAGGCAGGATGAGAGGATGTACCAGGTCTCATCATTCAGCAGACACTCCCGTTCATCATGTTTGGTCATGAGAAGAGGAGGGAAGGAGATAATAGCAGATATTACCCACACTACAGCAATCATGGTCTTGATGCGCTTAGGTGTCCGCTTCAGGTTGTAGCTGACCGCCTTTGTAACTGACCAGTAGCGGTCAAGGCTGATGGCGCACAGGTGCACGATGGATGAGGTGCAGAACAACACATCCAGAGCCAAATAGAAGGCGCACCAAGTAGTTCCGAAGTACCAATACCCCATAACCTCATTGACGAGGGAGAAAGGAATGACAAGCGTGGCCACCAGGATGTCTGCTGATGCCAGTGAGACCAGAAATAGGTTCTGGGGCGCACGGAGAGCCCGGCTAGTCAGGACTGCTACAATCACCAACACATTACCTACAATGGTTACCAAAATGATCACACTAACTACCAGGATGATGAGTGCTGTGGCTGCCTCAGTGTGTGGCAGGGCAAGCAGTGCGTCCGTGGTGTTCTCATCGTTGGAAACGTTTTCCACCAGCGGGTTTAACTGGGTTAAATCCATGCTTGCGCCGCTTTGTCTTTTCGTATCATGTTTGTTGTTTTGCACCCCTTTCCTTTCCAAAACAGCTAAGGCTGGGTGCGCGGAGGCGTCCTTAATTAACGCATGGAGATATGTTGCGCGTAACGCTCCGGATCAGTACAATCAGATGTAGCCCACATGAAACACGGTACCAGCACAAACCTCCTCAAATAGCAAACCCTTCATCACAGGTCCTCCAGACAGTTCGGACTCGCACACCGAGTTCTGAATATATCATAAATATAAAAAGAGTAGAGTTCACGGTCCAAGGCGATTAAAGTCGCTCCTCCAATGTCACGTTACCGTGCGTAATGCTGCATTTGTTTTGGTGACCAACCTCGCTTTAGACATGTACGGGGGATGTACTCTGCTGCTGGAATAAATGCCCATATAGGATTTGGGTGACATCACTCAGAGGACCAGCCCATCTTTAAACTTCAAGAAGAGAGAGAGACAGCAAAAGAGAGCTAGAGAGAGAGAGGACAGAGAATTGTTTAGACAGTTGGTTAAGAGATCTCTGAAACTGGAAGTGTTTCTCTTCACTGAGCTTGTTGTGTTTGATTTCGTACACACACTTTGTTGTTTTCTTTGTGTTCATATTTAACCTTTCTCAGTGTTAACTGTACCACAGTGAAAAATATCACCAGTCTTGTTTTGGAGAGCAAAATGCGCCACACTTGCTTTCCACTGTAACCATTTAGAAAGATTATGCCAGTGGCAGCTCTATGACACAGCCCTTAAGAGTCACTGATGGTTGTAGAGGTCAAACAGCTGGAAATTTCTCTGATCTTTATCTGCCCGGCAGGGCTACCAATTAAAAGGACACAGTCTTGAAAGTAAAACGGCTTTAATGCAACAGTGACCGATTAGACTACACCTGGATTTTAACTCTATTTCTAACCCACCTCTCTCATGGAGGACCACTTGTATGCACCCTCTCACTTTACCATTATTTACACACTGTGTGTCAAAGATGGGGGTGACTATGGTACCCTTTTCTGAGAACCGGGCATCTGCTTTGCTCCTGAGGTTGTTATATAACATGCATGCAGTGATGTCAGGCAGCTTTATCCACGGGATGCTTACCAGTCAGAGGTGATACAGGGGTCAGTTAGAAATAAAGCTAAAACTATGGAATAAAACTGCTGCAGAGCTGAAGGACAGCCTGTAGATCTGGCCAGCAGATGCACTTCACAAATTTTGGATTTTAAAGTAAATAGCATCTGCTCAAAGCCTGTCAGTCTGGGATTTGCAGTCCAGCTAAAGCTGTTCGATGGACACTAACATTGATGTTGGTGTGTGTGCTTGTTATGTGTCTATCTTTGAAAATGAGTTGTCTGGAGGCTCAGTAAGAACATCCTTTAGAGGCTGTAGTGAGATGAAACACAGATGGAGTTACTGGAGATTTGGAGGAGGAAGAGGAGGAGGATTCAAGATGCTCGTCTCGTTTCCCTCGCCGCTCTGATCTTGCTCCCCGAGCTGAACATAAAAACAATGAAGATCATCGAAAGGGTGACTGTCACTATATTTTAGTTGTTTGTGGACATTCCTTTAAGAGTCCACCTGCTGTATAAAAAAGAGGAAAAAAATCTCCGACCTCAGTACTAAGCATCCACCAACACAAACAAGCAGAAAAAGAGAGTTTAATTGTGTCTGACTGTGCAACCTGAGGGGGATCCAAGAAATTGCATACAATTATAATTATGACAAATGAGCATGTCTTGTTATGCAACCCATTGATAGAAGATGCAATTACCCTCATCTCTTCTGTGTTATTGCTTTTCATCTGAGAGCTTTTCTAAACATAAAAGAGACCTTAACAGATTTATGGATTTGTTTCAGAGCAAAAGAGAAACCAGACAAAGCCTTGGCAGCTTTTTAAGCTATGATTAAATCACTGATTTATATAGTGATATACACCAGTGACATACTTAAAATAGCTTTGCACTGTGCAACTGAAAACCTTGCAACACTTTCTGCACCCATAACTTTAACCACAGCAAAAATGATGTAACAGTTCAGATTTGTTTCTGTTTGCAGTGTTGACAAAACTGAACCAAAGCAACAACAAAATGTTCTGTCCTGTTGGGGTGCTTGCTTTTCTTGCTGCAGAGCACATTGCAGACAGTTGTTAAAGCAAAAGAACACAACTTACTGAATAATACTCTTTTCAAACGTTATCCAAAATTTGATAAATACAGGATTTACATTTACACAATGTTAAATATCTCTTGAAGTTGACAGTCACAGCACAAACCTTTCAACATTCTTTGTTGGTATTACAGAGACACATATCTATTGTATTTTCAGTGTACACACATTCATTCCTTATATATCTGTTCATTATGGAGGAGTGTTTCCTCTTCTCTTGCTCTTCTGGAGGTTTCTTCCTGTTTTGGATGTATTTTTTCTTTCTCCAGTTGAAGGTCTAAGGATAGGGTGCTGCATGCTGATTGTAAAGACCTTTGAGGCATATTTGTGATTTGTGACAGTGGGCTATACAAATAAAAATCACTTGACTTGACTATTTATTTATTTACATAAGCTCTTGAAAGAATTTTGATGCTATTGCAGAAAATGTATTTTGTGATCTCAGGGAAACTAAATTTGAAAAAGAATTATGCTCCTTCCAGCCTATTCTAAGTAATACAACAGTCCCTGGTCACATTGGATCTAGTGTCCTGTTATGATTTATATACCTGGAATTTACAGTACATACATACATGCATTCCAGTGTGGCTGAATGTGTTTCCTCATATTAAGAAATGACACAAGTCAAATCACTCGCCAGCCAATTATTCAAATGACTTCAGGCTCTAATTGAGAGTTCCGACCATCACTGAATAGTCAAAACTAATAGGCTTTTTAGCATTTTCCATGTTTGATATATGTGACACACATGACCAGTCTGTGACACAGGTAACAGGTTGATCGCTTGATAAATATTAACAGCTCTCTGAAGCCACAGAAGCTCTTGGACTAAGACAAACATTTACCAGCTTAGTGGCTTTAATCACTGCAACTAATCAATCATTATATGTAACAGTGATTTGACAACTTGTCCCACTGCCAGTAGGTAATATTGATGATTTGAGTTTTGTGATAATTACTACCTTCAGAAATGATTTATTAGCACAGCAGTGATTATTAATACATTCAATAAATGCCATTACACTGACAAATAAATAGGTTTATTATAAGCTCCACATTCTGTTCTTTTTACAGGGCGACAACTGAGAATGCTTTTTAATTGCAGCTAAAACAGTGGTGCTCAGAGGAAACTAACAAGGGAGGTTGCCGCTTGTCATTAGCCTTCAGGGGGAAAGGCACTATAAAAATATGGTATGATGATAATAACACTGTTTATTGGTCTTAAATAAAATGAAAAGCTCCCTGATATATAGAGACAAGACTGATGGCTGTTTCCCCCTTACTGCCTCAATCCTCTTAGCTTCCTGTTTTCTTCCAAGGAGGCAGTTTAGGCTGGATGTGAGCAGAACCCACTGCTGTGTTATGTAACATTGCAGGAATAAATGGCTCTAGGTGGTGTGTGAGAATCTCTGGTTGCAGGTGATTTGTTATAGTAAACATTTTCCTCAGGGAATTCAGCCTGGAGAAATTCAGCTGTGACCCTGTATGGTTACTTAAAATACAGCAATGTGCATAATTATTTGCGCGTGGTAGCGTGTGTGTGTTACAAGATCCTTGGCGCTTGTTGATGTGTGTACTTGTGTGAGATAGTGTACAAGAGAGTGGGAGAGGACTTGGAGTATGTGTGTGTGTGTCACAGTCATAGTGATTCACATGGTCTTTTTTGAGAGATCACACATCTCCCATCTTCTCTAAGAGTTGCTATTGCTGTCAGTAGGCTTGGCAGGTCTCGATAAACACATGACTGTTGACCTTTGTTGTGTCCCAAACAAACAAGGTTTCCCTCCGATTTTTCCACAGCTTTGGGCAACTGCAAAGGAACATGCGAGCGTGCCCGGGTTAATGAAGCCTTGAAGGTCACACATGCCAGCACAATCCCTAATTCAAGTTTCACCTCAAATCGAAAGAGCTCTCAGAAGACATTTGGGATAGCTTTTCATCAGGAAAGTTGTTGAGGCTCAAAGGGCAGCAAACATATCACCAGTTATATGAACATTTAACAGCCCTGTTTAATCATTTCAAATACATGTTGCAATTACTGTAGATAATTAAAATGACTCTGAATACATCTAAACTAGGAGCTAATCATCTTGTTTCATCAGCTGCTCTTTGAATCGGGAATGAGGCATAAGAGCCATAATGTTTGTGTACACATTCAGCAGAGGAAGATGCTTTTAAAATTCACTCCCAAGACCTCAGAGAATAGACTTCCTGTAAAAACACTTCATTGAATTAGATCTTTCATCTCATTTTAACAGAAAGAAGGCATGAGGGGTGTTTGGTGTGATTTTGTTAGCTGCCTTGTCAACTGGGGCTGAGGCTTAAAATTAGGAAAAATCAAAGAGGAATAAGAGGCAATAAGCCATTATAAGAGCCTTAAGCAAATCAAACCTTATTTTGTCTTTAATTGTGAGATCATTTCACTACACTACACTACTAGATCATTTCACTTGCTGTAAGGTATGGCAAAGTCTTTCTTAAACTTCAAAATGCACTTATTCATTTCAGAGACACCGAAGAAGTGGAGCAGTAACTCAGAACTCAGGGATGACTCAGATCGCATTAGAATTTGATCATCAAACATGTATTATCAGATGATGTAGAATGGACAGAACATGAGCCATGAATGCGCTACTAATTATTTCATTCGTTTCATTTCTAAATTATGTATATTTATTTAAAACCAAGCGATGGTGTAATGCTAATTACATGCAAGACAGTGCAATTGTTCAGTGACTGACATATGCTATTCTAAGACATTCACATTGTGAGAATATGTACAGATGAGCTGCTAGCATGGCTGTTGACTCTTAGAAAGTTTCCTATATATCTACTGTAGGTGACTTTGAATTAGGCCATGGTCACTGTGCTCCAGTGTCTGCTGTGAAAATGAAGTAATTTACCTTGAAAAACATTTTTGTTAGTCTTAATCTCAGCAGTTTGCCACTTTTCTGCCTCGGTGTACACATTTCAGCTCTTGAAAGTGCACTGTTAGTATTCAAGGTATCCCTCTGCATCTAATACCAGGCCAAGGGCTCATTAAAGCATTCATTTTGAATGTGACTTGGCTTCAGTCCCTGCTAGTTTTGCATCAGCCTGTGCAGTGCAACTGTGCCTTTTTTTATTATCACAGAAAACATCTCTGTTTATTAACTGTGAGCATTTTTGTTGGCACACAATGCTGCTCTCTCTGACACTGCACATTATTTACTGAAATGAAAAATGAAAAAAAAAATAGAACAATTGCTGGTATTTTTATTCATTCGTTTTTCCAGTGATTGATTCACTG